AAAAAAAAAAAAAAAAAAAAAAAAAAAAAAAAAAAAAAAAAAAAAAAAAAAAAAACACATCCAAACCGTGTGGTTGCGGGTCGTATTTGAACTCGGTGCGCCTATATACACTCTGGCCATATAAGACAAAGGGGAAGGAAAAAAAGTGACGCGGCAACTCTCGGCTCTGTATTACCCCAGTGCCGAGCAAAAAAAAAAAAAATCAAAGTCACGGGACCAAAAAATACCAAACACGACCGTTGTCCCGATGCACGTACACGCGAGCGCTTCAGGTGCGGACAAGGTGGGAGCAACGAACGTGTCCGCGGCGTCGCGCACGTATATATATGCACGATAGGGACAACGGAGGGATGGATTATTTTTCGGAGGAGAACTTGTTGCGGTGCGAGAAGGGAGAGGGTCACGCGTCGGAGGACGAGTCGGTGTGATCGATAAAGCCCGCAAGTTGCCCTCCACCCACCCCTTTCTTTATTCCTTAAACCTTTTTTTTACACTTTTCACTCGCCCCTCCCACCAACTATGTAGTTTATATGCCCCCCGACAGTCTCTGGACAATCTCCAAGAGAAAAAAAAAAAAAAAAAAAAAGAAAAAAAAATACCCCGTTTGTGATGTGTGTACGATCGATGCACTTGAAGTCAAGGTTGATCCAGATGCAATATCCAAGAGAAAAAAAAAAAAAAAAAAGAATAATGCATANTGGTTATACAATGTGTGTGTGTGTGTATATACACCAGCATCAGGAAATTGAAAGCCAATTGGGGTCGCGCTCATCTATTATGTTACCCCCTCCCCCGTACCTCACCCGTTGTATGATATAATACGTGTCCGTCTCTCGTCCACTACATTTGTATAATATACACACGTATAGGTATTTTTTGTTTGCATCGCCGTATAGTCGCGCGTCTCTCGGAAATTGTTATTCCTATAATATATACGCGGAGCCCAGGGGGACGTTTCCAAACATCGCGTGCACGGCCTATTTCCACCCCCCCTATACCCTTCCCTTGTCGTATAGGGATTATCTTTGGTTTGGAAAAATATTTTTCCACGCGCGTGTGTGTGGGTGGCCTACGTAAATTTACGTGTTGGGCTGTCGATCGGCGATCGATCTTTGATGGGCCAAGGGGATGTGGCCGATGTGTTATGTAAAAGCCGTCGTTTTCTGCACCGTACATCTGGCGGGTCGGTTTAATGCTTTTAATCAAATTACCGAGCCAAATCAGGTGTGTATTGGCCGACGATCGAAATAATATAAACCGACGGTGATGCGATACCCCGTCCATTGTTCATTTCTTCTTCTACTCGGCTTGACTCTCTCTCTCTCTCTCTCTCTCTCGAGATATACAATACGCACGGAAACGTGTACAACAACATTGGGGATAATTTTTCCAATATCCGTATCCTCTCGTTAAAAATATCCATGACCTCGTGAAATCGGCCCCCCACCCCACCCGTTCGCGTCTCTCTTGGTGGTGCATTTTAATTACACGCGTAACACGAACCATCACCGCCTGCAGCGACTATCAATACGTGCACGCGCGCACAGACTTTGACAGTATATATAGTTGGGCAAGAGCAATTATATTCCCTGTATGTTCGATCAAAACCCCAAGGAATCACCTGCAGTCTGAAAAAGTATGGAATTTTTTTTTTTTTTTTTTTTTTTTTTTTTTTTTTTTTTTTTTTTTTGGTTCGTTTTGGGCGCGCGTGTGCGAATATATATACGTGTAAGTAAAAGTGCGGGGAGAGAGGGGAGCACCAGTTGCGCCCTGTCGCTCGCCGAGTTTATTACCGCTGGCTCGGGGTGCGCTTACTTTTTCCATCCCCCACCCGTCATCCACCCGTTATTATATACCGAAATTTCAAAATCTACAAGTCGTTCGTTGTGGGTATATATATGTATTTCGATACCGATCAGCCTCGACTTGTCTTTTTTTTTTTTTTCCTCCCCCGCGCCAGAGAGTCGACATGGTACTCGCGACCCATTAATTATTCGTTAAAACGCGAGCGCACGGGAATCGGGTTAATATGCACTCTCAGCGGGTACGTCGGCGAGTGCGTAATCAGGCGGATGTATACATACCCCTCGCGTCTCTCTGCCGCGTTTGTACCAAAACTTTTGGAAATGCGCGAACGAGCAGCTCGTTTACATTACACAATTTTGTACGCAATTTTCGAAAGGTTGAAAGGTTTTTTATTTAGAAAAAAAAAAAAAAAGACACACATTTAATTTTAACGATACCGCAAACAACAACGTCCATACGATAACGCGTACGCAAAGAGAGGCTGGGGGTGTATAGCCGGAGATCGAAAAAAGCGCGAGAGCACCTCCCCTCCGGTGATACTTGGACTTTAGAGAGGCACCCTCGAGAACTCCCACTTTGAGCGATCCCATCTCACGCGTATCCCTCGAAGCACATTTATTTTATTTTATTTTTTTCTCTCGGCTCTCTCTTTCTCTCTCTCTCTCTCTCGAGAGGGAGAGGATTTGACGATACGTGTATACTCAAGCCAGTGACTTTTGTAGGTCAAGCCGTGTGCGGTTATTATGTTCATCAACCCCCAACCTTTTTTCTTCTTGGCTTTGGCGGTGGATGACTCGAGGGGCGAGGGAAAAAAGTGGCGGGCGATTGTAAGAAACAAAAGGCTCCCTGGGGGAGAGAGCTGCTCGCGTACACGATGGAAGGGATCGATGCCTTTTAAAAAATTATTACGAAATGAATATAGTTATGAGGGGAAAAAAAGGAGGCTATCGTGCGTGAGTTTTAATTATTCAGGGAGGGAAACGAGCACAACCGCTCGATAATTCACCGTTGGCTCGCGATGCACCTCCTGTAAAACTCATCCCTGGTAGAGTAACATGGATATCAGGGGTGAGGGGGGATAAGCATCTTTTACGCCAAGAGGTACAATGTACTTGTTGCCGTTTGAACTCGCGCTGCACCGTGTAGCGCCACACGACAACCTTCCTCCGGTTGTTTATCATTATTTTACAACTTTTTTTTTATTTTCTTTTTTTACGCTTTTGCAGGAGTTCAACGCGACCAGGGAACACCATGCCGTGCAGCCCACCTCGTCCACTGATTCAGGCAAGTACAATTCATGAGATGAAAAAAGAAAAAATAATGTTTGCCACCTCGCCCTGGCACGAGAGGGTGTTTCGGAAAACATATTGGATCCTCGTCGCGTAAACCCTGTACTCGCATTACTCGGACCAGCATCACACGGAGGGGCTGCAGGTGACCTCGAGCTCACCTTGAAACATTAGTCTCAAGAGATGATGATGATGATGATGATGATTGTATGTGTACATGCGAGGTGATTGATAATAAATAAACTTATTGGTTCAAAGAGCCAATAGATTCCTCGTATCATATCTGAGCGGGAGAGCAGATGTTCTTGTCAAAGTTATTGCTATTTGGGTATAAAAAGTGTTTTCCGGCGCGTGAAATCTGAATTGGGGAAAAAATGAGGGATATGTCGAATGAGCCGCGTCGGTTCCCCGGTTGCACGCGGTGGCACCCTGAATGGAAAAAATAACGTTTGAAACACCGATGGCAGGTGGTGGAGGGCAGCAGGGAAGCCGGCCGGGGAGCCGGATGGGCCTCGTCATGGGCAGGACGCTGACGAGCCTCTCGAGACAGGCGTCGACGAGCAGCGGCTCCCAGGAACAGCTGCCCCCCGCGTCGGCCGACCAACAGCCGCCGTACCAGCAGCAGCCCCTCCAACACCAGAGCTCGAGTCCCCAGATACGCACGTACGGGCCCGACGGACGCCACCACGAGGCCCTACACGCTGCCTCGTCCTACCCCCCCAGCCGGGGATCCAGGTACATTGTACCCACTTTTTTTTTCCTCCTCCTCCTCCTCCTCCTTATACAACCCCCCCCCCTACGTACAAGCGCAGCGTTGACTAATGGACCCCCCCGGAGCGGTGATCGATGGGTGTTTTTTTTGTCCCGATGAAAGGGAGCCTTTTTGCTCTCGGCCCCCAATCAAGGGAGAGTGCTTTTCGTTACGAATTCAGTTGCGGTTTGTTTTGTTTGCCCCTTCACGTGACGAGGGAGGGGGGGGGGGACGCGTATTTGTTTATATACAAAGTGTACATACGACAGTGTGTATTTTTTTGATTCAAAACAATGCTCTGTATTTTTCATCGTAAAACCAAAATCGCCGCGTCTCGGGGAAAGGGGTGTATCTCAGGGGGATGGTCCTTCGTCACGCGTTGTACACGCGCATCATGAGCTTTATAGGGGCACGGGGGGGGGTGGTTATACAATGTGTGTGTGTGTGTATATACACCAGCATCAGGAAATTGAAAGCCAATTGGGGTCGCGCTCATCTATTATGTTACCCCCTCCCCCGTACCTCACCCGTTGTATGATATAATACGTGTCCGTCTCTCGTCCACTACATTTGTATAATATACACACGTATAGGTATTTTTTGTTTGCATCGCCGTATAGTCGCGCGTCTCTCGGAAATTGTTATTCCTATAATATATACGCGGAGCCCAGGGGGACGTTTCCAAACATCGCGTGCACGGCCTATTTCCACCCCCCCTATACCCTTCCCTTGTCGTATAGGGATTATCTTTGGTTTGGAAAAATATTTTTCCACGCGCGTGTGTGTGGGTGGCCTACGTAAATTTACGTGTTGGGCTGTCGATCGGCGATCGATCTTTGATGGGCCAAGGGGATGTGGCCGATGTGTTATGTAAAAGCCGTCGTTTTCTGCACCGTACATCTGGCGGGTCGGTTTAATGCTTTTAATCAAATTACCGAGCCAAATCAGGTGTGTATTGGCCGACGATCGAAATAATATAAACCGACGGTGATGCGATACCCCGTCCATTGTTCATTTCTTCTTCTACTCGGCTTGACTCTCTCTCTCTCTCTCTCTCTCTCGAGATATACAATACGCACGGAAACGTGTACAACAACATTGGGGATAATTTTTCCAATATCCGTATCCTCTCGTTAAAAATATCCATGACCTCGTGAAATCGGCCCCCCACCCCACCCGTTCGCGTCTCTCTTGGTGGTGCATTTTAATTACACGCGTAACACGAACCATCACCGCCTGCAGCGACTATCAATACGTGCACGCGCGCACAGACTTTGACAGTATATATAGTTGGGCAAGAGCAATTATATTCCCTGTATGTTCGATCAAAACCCCAAGGAATCACCTGCAGTCTGAAAAAGTATGGAATTTTTTTTTTTTTTTTTTTTTTTTTTTTTTTTTTTTTTTTTTTTTTGGTTCGTTTTGGGCGCGCGTGTGCGAATATATATACGTGTAAGTAAAAGTGCGGGGAGAGAGGGGAGCACCAGTTGCGCCCTGTCGCTCGCCGAGTTTATTACCGCTGGCTCGGGGTGCGCTTACTTTTTCCATCCCCCACCCGTCATCCACCCGTNGTGTCTAGCATTCCGAGGACTTCTCGTCTATAAATTAAAAAAAAAAAGAGCCATTATAGATCAAATTCTAATAGATGTCAACGTGTACAATACATATTTATTTGTTTGTATAAAAACTTGAATGTTTACAGGCATTATATGTTTAAAGTTCAAAACTGCATTTTTCCACTGTGACAAAGTTATGTAAATTATAAAGATATTGTTTAAGGCGTGAGTGCCATTTTGAATTGATATATATTACCTAGGGAGGTTCACGAGTTTTCATAGAAAAAAAAAAAAAAAAAAACAGGTCACCATCGCCAGTGCGAGCAGCTTCGTTGGACGCCCGGAGCAGTCCGAGACCCCTCGTCCTGACGTCCGGTCAGTCGAGCGGTGGTTCCCTGTGTTCCCTGGCAGGGTCCTCGCAGCTGCAGGCCATCACCCACCACCAGCAGTCCTGCGGCGGCCCCTCCCCGGCCCACCACCACTCGCCGAAGCAGCCGTCCTCCTCGTCGTCGTCGTCGTCCTCGGGGGTCGCCCACCAGCATCAGCCCGCATCGCCTGGACGCTGCCTGTCGCCCCTACTCATACCCCCGCCCCGCGCCTCGTTCTCACTTGGGTGCGTTGCTTACCTTCCCACTGTTGGCTGATGACGCTCGCGTCTCTCCTTCACATATATATACAATTCTTTCCATCCACATACACATCCGTGTATACATGTTATATATATATATACTTACCACCGTCTTTTTTTGGCTCACCGCTTCTCAAGGGATGGCAAGCTATAGGACACTGCAGGATTTCCCGTTGAATTGTTTTGGGGGTTTACGTACCGACAGAAGGAGGATTTTTTTTTTTTTTTTTCTTTCAAACAATATTTTGGCTGTGGAGGAATATCTTGCCATCCCTGCCTTCTCGTACGTTAGCGTATAGCCGATCTTTCTCTACCCCCCCCCCTATCCTCCCTGGCCCTTTTGCCTCTTTTTTCTTACTCTTGTGATGGTTGTATATTTACGATGATGTGCTCATGATCTGTTTTTTTTTTTTTTCTTCTCCTCTCAAAAATATACTTTTTTCTTCTTCTTCTCTGTGCACATATACATATAATATACGTGTGTTTCTTCATTGCCTGCCCGATGCTATATACTTGGATATTTTCTTTCTCTTTGGTGTTTCGCTGACCACATCAGTCGCAGTGCCGATCGCTTGGATGGGATGACTATACCGAGATTTACGTATACCGATCTGCACCCGATTGGCACTTTTTAAACGTAACTTTTGAATTTCTTTCTTTTTCTTCGACGAAGCAGCTGTAGTAGAACGAGCCGCGTATGGTCAGACAGGTCAAAAGGTATATTAAAAAAAAAACCCCCGCAAAACGAGTGCTCGAGGTAATGTAGCTGTTCCTCCTCGGTCTTCTTGATCTTTCGACCCACTTCTCTCTTTCTCTCTAGTTCTCTGACTGTTGAAATGGAAACAAAACAAAGCAAACACCATGTCTATATATACGTATATACACTTATACCCGAAAAAACGATGGACAAAGGATTTTTCTTTCGCGTGTGTAAGCGCGTATGGGTGATGGGTAAATGTGTGTGCTTTCAGCGACAGCGGCTCGGGACCGCCGGCCTCGCCGCTGGGCGCCCTCCAACCGGACCTCTACCGCAGCAGGGCCGAGCCCATCATCCTGCCCAGCAGCTCGCGACGGTGAGTTTACCGAGAGGGAGGGGGGTGCACTCGATCATAGAGTTTGTTTGTTTTTTAATGAGAAAAATGTTAACATTTTATTTAAATGGTCCCGTGCAGGTACTCCATAACTTAATCCTAACACGCCCAAAGAAAAAAAAAAAAAAAAAAAAACACCCACAGTAGCGGCAAATCCCTCGGTCGGCTGCACCTGCGGCTCAGCTACGACTACGACAAGTCGGACCTCGACGTCTACCTGATAAAGGGCGAGAACATACCGAGCAGCGACCACGGGGGCTTCAACGACCCCTACATCAAGCTCACCCTCAGCCCGGAGGTGGACGCCCGCAAACGCCAGACGCCCGTCTGGAGCCACGAGCCCAATCCCCACTTTGACCAGCACTTCAAGTTCCCCGTCAGCCACGACGAGCTGCAGGACAAGACCCTCATCGTCCAGGTATATTATATACACCGTGTGATGATGGACACATACTTACGATGGACAAATACTAAACAAAAAGGTGCTGGACTTTGACCGGACCTCGCGGAACGACATGTTCGGCTCGGTGCGGGTGATCCTGGACGAGCTGAACCTCACGTCGTCGACCTCGCCGGTGGAGATAGTGGGCGACATAAGCCGGGAGCGCAAGCCACCCGAGGAGACCCAGGAGGTCCTTATATCCCTGTCGTACCTGCCCTCGGCCCAACGGCTGACCCTCGTCGTTCACAGGGCGAGGAATCTGTTTCCAGGCCCGGGCAGGGACACCCTCGATCCGTTCGTCAAGGTCGGCTTGTTGAGCAACGACAGGCGCGTCAAGAAGAAAAAAACGGCCGTGTGCAAGGCCACGAGGTCACCCGCCTGGGACGAGGCCATGTCGTTCAACGTGCCCACCTCGGCCCTCGGCTCATCCGCCATCGAGGTGCGTCCACTATTTCTTTTCTCTTTTTTTTTTAGGTGCAATGTGTGTGTGTGTGTGTCAGTCACTTTGCTACATCATCATCTTACTACTTACACTCGTACATGAATGAATAGGTAAGTAAAACAGTGACAAATAATTAATCGTACGTCCAACAGGTGGAACTTGACTGATCTTCAATTTTTCTTTATTATATTTTGTTGTCTTGTGTACTTGTGTATTGCATTGAGAAGAACAAATCGCTGGATTTCCAGATATGCGTGGTGGACTCGAGCAGCGAGGCTGCGGGTAACGACGCGATCATAGGCACGTGCATAATAGGCCCCGGTATAGCCACGACCTCCAACTACGACAACGCCCCGAACCCGAGTCGTGAACACTGGCTGGTCATGGCCAACTCGCCCAGACAGACCATCTCCAAGTGGCACGTACTGCACTGAACCGATTATATTCCCCCACCTTTGCTTGATTGTCGTAAATATATATAAATACCCTCCGCCCATGGTGTAAGCCGTGAGATGACGAAGCAACAATCACTTTTCTATCAGCATATATTATATACGTATGAATATTACATTTTTATCACATTTTCGCTCTCAGTAGACAATTTTCGATTATAGACAATGCTTGTATTTCCCTTTTTTTCCCCAAACGCAAGAACGATCGAGTACACAACACCTGTTTGTCATTTGCTGAAAAAATTTTATAAATGGGCTAAAAATACAAATATATATATATATATACAATGTTTTTTAACCGGAAAGGGCAAAGGAATATTTAAAAAATGCCACTCGTGCGCTTCTCTATACGAATAAAATTTTTCTGTCGCACAATTAGATTGCAAGATCGTATTATACCTACTTATATACATACGTATGTTGTATATAGGCCGTAAGGAAAACGCAAAACTTTTTTCAAATTCATATATATATATACACACGCAACTTTTATCGTCCGTTTGCACACGTACTTTTTTGTTTTTCTCCTTCTCGTTAGACGAGGAGGGAAAATTTTGTGTAAAATTTGAAAATGATGATAAATAAAAATGTTTCGCTGGACTGACACACCATATATATATATATATATATATACTTACCACCGTCTTTTTTTGGCTCACCGCTTCTCAAGGGATGGCAAGCTATAGGACACTGCAGGATTTCCCGTTGAATTGTTTTGGGGGTTTACGTACCGACAGAAGGAGGATTTTTTTTTTTTTTTTTTTTTTTTTTTTTTTTTTTTTTTTTTT